CTTAACAACTACTAACACAAGTAACATCAAAATGTTATCGAAAATAAAAGTACAATATTCAAAAAAAAATACAAAAAAGTTTTGCAAGCATTTTGGAATTTTATATAAAAATTCGATAAAGTACAAAAAAATAAAAATCAAACAAAAAAAGAGAAAAATAGTAATAAAAACAAAATAATCACCAATAAATCGCTAATAATTTAATCATTCTGCGCAAAAAAAAAAAGAAAAAATTAAAACTTGTATTCATTGATTCCAGTATTTGCAAAAGTTTAGAAGCGAGTTTTTGGTTTATTTTGAATTTTTGGTTTTTTTCTTGTTTTTTTTTTAATGTTGTCATAGGTCGTGTATCAGGTTTGCTAATTTCATCTTTTATCCATTATCTTCACTCTTAATTTTTTTGTCTTTGGAAGCAAAAAAAAAAATTGCCAAACTCACTGGAAAATTATGAAAATTTTTAATTTTTTTTTTTTATTTTCGAATTAAAATCATCATTATTCTTTTGATGAATTTTGAAGAGTTGACTAAGTTTCCATTTTTTGCTATGAAAAATTTTTACTATTTTTGATTTCTTTTTTTTTAACTAATATATAGGTAATTAATTATAAAGAAGTGCTTTTTCCAGTTTGCCAGTAGTAGTACAATAGAAACCGGATGAATTTTGGTTGTCAAACCTATACATACAATATTAATAATTTTTCGATTTAACAATTTTCAAAAATTAATAATTATAAATTTCAGTTCAGATCATATATGTTAAAGTATCACGCCTATCTACGGCGAATCTATAGGGTTAGATGAACCATGTGTTTCCACATTTAATCGAACAAAAAACCGACGTTGTTAATCTAGCGGAAGCAAAACGAAAATTATGCTTGTATTCTGTGTTAGCAACGAAATCCAGCATCTACATGATATATTCTAGCAACTATGCCTAGTTACTATTCTATATAAACTAATATTCAAACTCTTTAAAACAATTTTGAAGTGGTTATGTATTTTTTCATAAAATCTCTTGAATTAGTAAAATGACTTCAATAACTCGTCAAAAAATTTATATCGATACCAGGAAGTGTTCATTAAATAGAAAAATATTAAAACTCATATTTCATTTTTACTAGATATACATCGTATATAAAAGTTGAAAGAACTTTTCTTATATGCAGTTTTTGTGTTACATTAAGAAAACTATTTTATCGATATTATAGTTCACTTACATATACGCACATATTTAAGTATATGACAATCATAAAAAGCCTCTTTATACGTAACGTATAATAATATTGTATATGATAAAATTTTCCATTCGTAAGTCGATGAAATTCGATATATCGATTTTTATATTATATTTTATATTTTTCTTGAAAAAGCAATAAGAAAACCATATAAATAATGTTATATACATACATAATATGTAGTATAATAAGTTATAAGTACACATATGCAAATAAAAGTATTGAAATTCAAAAACTTTGACAACTTTACAAGATGGTGTGAAAATTTTCTTGACTTTTATTACCATTAATAATAGTAAAGTATACCCAATTTTATATTTTTCTGTAATGAAATATATTATGTGTGGTATCGCCTAATGTATTAGGAAAAATTTTATACCTTAATATATGTAATATGTAATTTTAAATAAATAGATATGTTTACATAAATATATAATACATACATATGTATATATATAATATATGATTTCTTTAAATGAAGCCAAACAAATGTTTGTAGTTCAGTTAAATTTCAATTACAATTTCTTTTATTTTCTTTTCACAACTCCCTCTGAAAAACGGCAGTGTTAAAAAATTTCTGGTCCGTATCATTGTGTGCACGTGAGTCACTAATTTTAGGATCTGAAATATAAAAAAAATGCTGCCATCGTGGATTTTTTTGATTCACACCAAATTTTAGTTAGGAACTTCTGTAATTTTGAAGAGAAAGGTTTTTTTATTATTAAAACGAAAATTTTGAATTAAACACAAAATTATTTCGAAGCATTTTTTAAAAGGTTTTTTTTTTTTAATTAATAACCAATTAAAATGGGTATACTTAGTGTTAGTGCAGTGTTATTACAATAAAGTTAACATTGAATTTTAATTATAGTACACTCAAGTGGCTCAAGAGAGTCGAAAGTAGTCTCGAAGCAGGGTAGTATAGAAGGCTTCCCGACAAGCAAAAGTACCTGTCAATATTTTGCTTTTTGAGTCAACTTTCTCGTCGTCATAATTTATAATAAGGAACAATTACTACAGCAGCGTTTGTACACATTTTAAATCAGCCGATATTCGAAAGCTTCATATTAAAAAATTATGCACTCTAAAACAAAATGTTCCTCATCGCTGTCACTCACTTTATAAAGTTTTTAAACTTATAACTTTTCTAAATAATATCCACATTTTACATAAGCATAATTACATATATTTACATAAAAATATGTGCATATATAAAGTTAAAATTCTACATTCAAAGTTTATTGCCTTATATTTCATGTTATTCGTTCATCTAAAATCTAAGTAAAGTGACACGAATTTCTTTTTTTTTTCTTACCTATATAAAATTTTATACTAGCAAAATAAAAAGAAAAAAAGAGTAGATTTTCTTTTCTTAGCTAGCGAGAGTCTACTTTTGATTTCAACTTTTTTTTTCACAACATGAATTATTGCTTGTAATTTGTAACGGTGTGGATATGTAAAACTTTTACGTATATAATATACATGACCAAGTAAATAAAATTTGAAACGTGCATAAATTATAAGGCATACAAGTATAAGCCACCTTGATAAAATCTTAGAGTTGAAATCATATTATAAATATTTTGAACTTTTGATATGAAAATTTCAAAATTATAGCAAGATTAAAGGCATAGGTACCCTTAAAGTTCTTAAACTGTACTTTTATTTTAACAAAATGTCAAAAAGACTATGGTTTTTTTTGCATGCAGTTAAATTTTTTTTTTTTGTTTATTGAGAAAGCGAACTCCTGCTGATTTATTTGGTTGAAAAATGTTGTAATTTCATGGTATAAAAAATTTATGTGTGTTTATGAAAAATTAGTAACTAAATTAAGTTTCGTCACCAATCAGTTAAACGTGATATTCAGTAATAGAACATAAACATATTCAACTAGTAATGCAACTGCTGTGTTTGAACAATTAATTTTATATTGCTTAAAAGTTAATGATTTCCAATATTTAATAAGAAGTTATTTTATTTGAATGATTTATTCTATCTATATAAATTATACTAGATACAACAGGTCTAATTATTTATAATTTAACTGTTTGAATATCACAATCAAAACCTAACAAAACTAAAATCAATTTTGAAAAATACTGAAGATATTGGAACATCAGGATATACGTTCTTATATTTTAATCTATTCATTGCAAATAATTTTAATAGAACTGCCTGAGTATATTTATGCTGGAATTCTAAAACTCCCAATATCAAATAACTCTGAAATAAATTGTAAATAATTAGAGTATTGTTGTATAGGTTTTTGTTATTTTTTTAATATCAAAAACTATTAGGTTGAACTAGCTTAATTCAGTTTATGGTCAATTCATCTTAAGTTGCTTAATAGCTGAATTGCTTAATTCATTTTAAATTTTAAATTCTCTGTTAGATTCAACTTCCATATATGGCGTAGGTGAATGTAAATAGGTTTTGTCCATTCTGGTTCTCTAAGAATTACATTCATGTAAACTGAATTCCTAAAAAAGAAATTTTTCTAGAGAAGTTTGTTTAATGTGTATATGTATACATACATATATGCCATATTCCTTTCACCAAAATTCAGTTTTTTCTCCCCCACAGGAAAATTTATCAAAATTTTCGTTACATTTTACATCCTTCTTCTATAGTCCTATAAAAATAAAATTCGAGTAAATAATAATTAAAGCAATGTAGAACTTAAATAAAAACTTTAAGACCTTTTAATTTGCAATTTTCCGGTTATTGGTTTAATTTATTACAGTGATTTCCTTTATTTTTTCACTTTTTGTACGTATATAATGTATAACAATTTTAACTACAGATAAACTAATTTTATGTGTAAGCATTAAACGTAGGTGGTGTCATAATATAACAGCAATTTGTCTAAAAGTAAAAATCATGAAAACCAAAAAAGAAAAATTCCTGAAAATTTATTTTGAACGTGACTTTTTATAATCTGGCAATTCAATATAAACCAACTAACTCCCTTTTCAATTTTGTAAACTTCATCATAATTTCATTTTATATATTATGTAGGTACGTAACCAGACTGAAATAATTATATCAAATTTTCATCATAATCTTATTTAAAAACATACTTACATGAAGGCACTTTAAATAAATCAAAAAAATTTTTCATATTCCTACGAGTGTCATATTTTTTCTCCTTTTCATTTTATATTCAGTATTTTGACGTATACACTGTAACAGTTGCCTATTACCCTTATTCTTTATTTTTGTATTGCTAGATCCAATTCTGTAATGGTTTTGTGTGTGCATCGATAAAATTTAAGGAAGAAAACATTTTTGTATATTCGAATGTAAAATGAAATTTGAAATGTTCCACCAAACAATTGAAACATTGCCTTATATATCACTTTATGAACTAAATATTTTATCAAAATTTGAGGATGGTGTTTCTAGCTAGACTAAATCATGGTGGCCAAGATGCTTTTTCTATGTCATACAATTATGATTAAATTCATAACAATGCTATGTAACGGTGCGTAAAGTTTTCGACACGTCACAAGATACTCTTTGTTACCATACATAGGAACTCCTGTCTTGATTTTCTGCCGGATACAATATAGACGAGCCAAATGAACACTCCATCTGTAGTATAAAAAAAATCACAGAAAAGTACTTGTTAATTAATTTTTTTTTAGTTAACGTCTACTTTTTATTCAAAAAAAAATTCATTTCTTTTTGATATTTATTTCTTTCTATTTTTTATTTATTTTTGTAAATTGTTTTAACAAAATTGCTTTATTATTTATTTTACAGCCCACAGGGACATTTGATCCTACACCATATATACAAAGAGCACGTGTAACACGTCCAGCACCTCCAAAGCCATCATGTAATCCAATGCAATTTGTACAAATCAAACCATGTAATTTGTATCAAAGCGCACAGGAGCAAATAAAAAGAGCCGAAGAGGTTAAAAAAGTGAAGGAAGTCAAAAAAGAGGATCCAGAAGATTGGCAAAATGTAAGTGTTATTTTATTTTTTGTTTTTATTTTTTCTGTTTATTTTTTGTTTTTTGCAATGGTAAAAGCAGATTTGCATTCATAATATTTGCATATATAGAGTAGACTATATTAAATTTTTCATCATTAATGAAATTATAGTAGAGGGAAAAGCGACAAGACGGAAAAGAAATAAAAAAAATAAAAGAAGAAACCACTTTATGGTTGTATAACATTTTTTGAATATGGTCTGAAAATACTTATATTCCATATTTAGTTAAATTTTTACTCCTTGTTTCCCTACATTCTTGTACATTCTCAACAGAATATTATACAATATTATGGAAAGCGAAATTTAAATTGAAGTGCGGAGGTGTTTCAAGAGAGTTATAAAATAAAATTGATTAAAAATGTGGAATGACAAAGGAATTTTTTATATTCAACTTCCAAACTAAATTTTTATATATAGGCATATAAAATTCATCTAGAAAAATGTTGGAGGTAATTTATATATGAAAGATAATTAGAATTTGTTTTTAATTAATTTTCATTTTGTAATCCTTGTCATAATCAACTCAAATATGTTATAAGAAAATTTTTTCGCTTGTCATGTCATCCAATATATTACAATGAATTTAAATAAGAAAAACAAAAAAAAAAGATTTTATATTTTATATCTTGTATCTGCTTTTGTTAAGTCTTAAAATTTATGTAACAAAGAATGATTCTTTTGTGTTTTTACAAAATGGAATTGGAAACATATGCAAAATTTCCATTTACTAGACATAAATTTGAAATTCGTTATTCTTTATGCATACATTCTTAGCTTGAATATTTAAAGCAGTATTAAATAAACTATTTTAATATTCACGCACGCTTTATACCACGTAAACTACAGTTATGTGCATAATAAGTTTTATATTTTGTCATGTGCGTTGCCGGAATCACATCTATATGCTAAAATTGTATATTGTAGGCCGATACGGCAGACCGCTTTTGTAAATGATTTATAATTTACAGTTGAACGTAGCATTTACCAGTTTCTTTGGTAAGCTTTTGTATTCGCTTCAAGAAATTTAATTTAGATTCGATATTTTAAAACCGGCTCTATTTATGTATACACATAATAATTGAAGAGTACGTACATATATTCTCATGATTCAATTGAAATCCCTTGATTTATGCCTAATTTCTTGAACAAAACTGACAATTTTTTAAAATATTCAGTGAAGCAATCAAAAAAATCAAATTAATCCCGCAAATATCATTAACTTTAGAGATGAAATAATAATTATGTTCATCTAGTTTTTATGCAATCAAAACACATTACACACTACGATATTACAATACGATTTCATATTGTAAATCCCGTTTTATGTTGAATTTTCTTAAATAAAATTTTATTAAATAATTTAACTAAAAGAACTCGAACTTAATACACATACGTAAATATAATGTGTGTGTTGCAAATAAATATCCAATTAATAAAATATTCAGGGTATTGGCGTAATACGCAGCAAATCATTAATGACCGTATATGTCTGCTTATTTTTTTTCTTTTGCGAAAATCACCAAGTAGGTTTGAAATATTTTCAATTCTCTGCACTTTATGATGATGTAAAAAACTGTGAAATGTACATGTAAAAAAGGTGAGTCCTTTAATTTTTGTTTTTTTTTTTTCGACTCTTTATTTTGTGTTATATTGGGTAAAAGATAAAAAATATTACCTGCTGTTTATTTTACATATGAACATTCGATTTATAATTTACATTCAATTTATAAAGTAATATATTAAGCGATGTAATCGAGGAACGAAATGACGATATTAAAGAAAAATAAATGTGTGAATTTACAATAAAAATCACTTGAACACGTCTTATAAAATTTTGACATTAATTAATGAAATTTTATTTAGTTAAAATAAGAAAAAAAGCAAGTTTTTTTATGTTTTCAATTTTGGACATGATACCGCAATTTTAATAACAATAATTTGCTGATAAAAAAGATATAGGATAAAGTTTGAAATACCAAAAAAAAAACAAAGTTGGTACTTCGAAAAAAATTAATTTACATTAAAGTGAACGGCATAGACACTGGAACAAATTTAAAGTTTAATGGTATATTAAAAATGGTATACATTGAGTTCATTTTTGTGCCTATTAATAAAACGTTATAATAACATAGAAGTGGTTGCGCATTGTCACGTAAAGAAGGAAGTCTAAAAATAGCTCTCCCATTGATTTCTAAATTTTGAAATTGATTTCTAATAATTTTTTTTAAATAAGTTTTCAAATTATTCTCCACTGCTTTAATAAAAATTGTTAAATAATTCTCAAACTTTCGAACAACTTTCCAAACTTTGAATTATTCTCCGAATTTCATAATTATTTTCCCAAATTTAAAGAGTGGGCAAGAACTGTCATTTCAATTGCAGATATTTTAATTTTTTGGTAAATTCACAATATTTTTCTTATTTATTCCCTTGACAACTTTATTTTTCTTCTTAATGTTATTTTTGTGGAATGAAAATATTTATTTAATCTTCTCTTCATATTTATATAAATAAATTTTATTGAAATAAAATAACAAAATATTTATTTTTGCGAGTAATCACGTCTACTGAAAAACAGAAAAAAAATATGGCACTCATATACCATTTAATTTTTGTGTTAATTCAATGGTAATGCGACTACAAAATGCTAAATAAGTAAAAAGTAAAAACATGTCCGAAAATTTGTTAAAAAATATTGTACTTAAAAATATTTAATACGAAAAAAATTTTTGATAACTGTGGTGAGAAAACATTTTGCAATACTCTCAGTTGAAAACTGAAAGTTTTTCGAATTTTATTTAAGACAAATGCGATGATCATTAATTTTAAATCGTTTTTTAATGATTACATTTTAAATGGTGTTTTGTATTTTGTTTTTTTTTTACAAATTGTATATGATTTCCGATATACGATTAATAAAATCATCACGATTTGGTGATAATCACAGCTGGAAATAAAAAAAAACTGCGAAAAAATTACAAATCAACTAATTGGAAATTTATTTCAAATAATTATATTTAAATTTTTATTTTTTGTTATTAGCTCAAGGATTTGGAAAATGTTGCATTTTCCTTAAATAAACTTAAGTCAAAATGATTGTTTGAAGAGTCCTTATTAAAATTAACCACAATATAAGAATGAAAGTTTTAAAAACTCGTTTGGTTTGTACAAAATGCTCTAGACATTTAATATTTATATTAAGATTAATACCGATTATTATTTGTACACATATGTATGTATGTACTTAAAATAAATTTAAGATTTGTCATTATAATGTAAGTAATTAAAAAAAAAAAATTTGACAAGAAAGTGTTTGACCATGTTTGATCAAACAGTTGTATAATTTTGCTGCAATTGTAAAATAATTTATCTATTGATATACTAATTTCTTGTAGTAATTTTTTAAAAGTTTACTTGATGTAATGTTATGTTTGTATTTTATTTAGTGACATGTGCGTTTTTCCGTCAAACAAAATTACACAATCTTGAATTAAATCAAACAAATTCATGACTAGTTCTGGCATCTTTCAAACTTATAAGTATAGTGTTCAAACTTTCAAATGATATTATATACAAATTTAAAATATTTTTAATAAATAAACATAAATAAATTTATTTTTTTATTGGTATTTTTATCGATTATCAGCAATTTAAATTTCAATTTTTCAATATTTTCTATATTTTAACTCATAACTTTTATTGAAATAATAATTAACCTAGTTTATTTAATCTCATGTATAGTATGTATGTATGCATCTACATCACATATAAAAATTTCATTTCTATTATTATTTTAAGGATACATAAGTATATGGTAAATTTTAAAATAAATTTCCATATAATTATATATTTTTTTTCAGTGCTTTCCTGACATTATTACAATTTTAGTACCTCATTTACAGTACTTACAACACTTCTATTATGATTTTATCATGAATATGTTAATTATAATTTATTTAATATTTTAAATATTCAATAACTATCTAATGTGTAGACCCACATAATACTTAAATCATGTAATAAATATTATTATACTGCAAATTACCATTTTTTTTTATCAATATATTATTATTGGAACATATTGTAATTATTAAACAATTTTCATAAATTTTTATTAATATAATATTCTTATGTAGGTATACATATAGATTATTATACCTAGTATGTATGTGTGTATTCTCATTTTAATGATATTGTGGGCGATATTTCAAAATTTTTCCATATTTATTATTATATGAGCATACAAAAAAAAAGACAGCATTTTCCAACTTACCCAAAAAAGTAAAATCGCAAAGTAATTTTATTGGCACAAATTGGACAAAATCATTTTGATTGTTTGTAAAATATTTTTGCAATAAATAGTAAAAAAAAATGTTGATCCTTAATATAAAATAAGTATTATTTATGACATTTATAACGCTTCTATTATCATTTATGACTTATAAAAATTTCTGCTTATTATTGAAAATATACCAATATTGTATTTTTTGATTTTTTTTTTAAATTATAGTAAATAGCTGACAGATGTCAGTCTATTTAGCCAGTATTTGCATTTTGTATTTATATATTCATTGTCAAAATTTCTAGTTGTTCATCTATCCATTGTTCCGTAAATTTGTTGTCTGTTCCTCTTGTCGAATCCTAAATAGCCGTATGTATAGTTTTTGTTAAAAAACAATTTTTGTCTTGTACATCCAGTAAATCATTTATGCTGAAAATTTTCTTCTCACAAATTTTTTCTCTACATATCTTATAATTTTTTCTTTTCATGTCATAGATTTGTAGTACAAGAGAATAAGAGAAATAAAGAGAATTTATTTTAATGTCGTTTATCATGACATGATCTAAAACTACTTACAAAAAACTAAAACTAATTTCATATTTTCCTGCTTGCACCACAAAATAAAACTTAAAAATGCAGATAAAATTTTTTTATGGCAACTACTAAAATATTGCAATAATAGTTTTTC